TATTCCTTATTTTGCATTGGAAATCTTTCCCTGCACATCCCTCAGGCCCAGCTCCCACATGGAGCAAACCAAAGGCATTTCCTGTGGATTCCAGGGAATTTATAGCAGAGGAAGTTCTTTTTTGGACATTGGGTTTTATTCACTAACCAGGTAGGACTGAAGGGGCAATTTCCCAGCACCAAAATGAAGTTCCCAGGATGCATCCAATGCCATCTCCAGGTGATAAATCCATGATTCCAGGGGTAAATCCAGTGTTTTCCAAGTGTTTCCATGTGGTTTTGTTTTAAAACAATTTAATCATTTAGAATTCTTGAAATGGTATAATTTGAAAATAATTTGGTGATTTTAAATTATTAAAATAATAACTAATAAGAATTTTATTCCAATGCACAAGTGCTTTTGTCTGGTGCAGGAAATGGGGGATTCTCCATTTTCATCCAGACCAGGAATGCAAGGCCTGGGAGTGGCAAGTGCTGGGGAAGTTGGGATGGGGTCTCTGCTGCCCGGGCCCATCGTGTCCTCTCGGGAAAGGTGGGCTTTGTATGGACCCCCCGACCTCTCAATCCCATGGAAAAATTGGAGATGGGGTCCCCATTTTATCCCAGAGCCATGGAATGGTTTGGGTTGGAAGGAACCTTAAATCCCATCCCATTCCAGCCCTGCCATTGGGAACTTCACTGCCCCAGGTGCTCCCAGCCCTGTCCAGCCTGGCCTTGGGCACTGCCAGGGATCCAGGGCAGCCACAGCTGCTCTGGGCACCTGTGCCAGGGCCTGCCCACCCTCCCAGCCAGGAATTCCTCCCAATATCCCACGTAAATCCCACCTCCACACACAGGTGAGGCTCCCTGGTCTGCAGTTCCCAGGATTTTCCTTTCTTCCCCTTCTGAAAGCAGGAATGATGTTTTCCATCTTCATGGCTACTGGAAAACTGCTTTTTACGTTTCATTTTTCAAGGAACTTGAGGTTCCTACAGACACCCTGCAAGGAGCCACATCCAGGATTTCATTTTCTCTTGGATAAATCCATCTGGAAGCGGCCGAGCGTGGGCGGGATGAGACAACTCCAGCTTAGTCCAACATTTGACCAAGGCAGTTCAATAATTTCATTCTTAAAAATCTGGGAATATGTTCCTTGAGATTTGGGGGCAGCTGTGGGAGTCACCCAGGAGCTTCTGTTCAGCTGGAGCACCCAGGAGTGGGAATCCCAAGCAGAGATTCCAGCGCTGAGAGACTGATGGAAATCTCCAGCAAGTGTTTCCACACTAACGAGCTCCCCGGGGAGAGCAGGCTGAGCAGAGGGAGCCAGCTCGGCTCTTCCTTTCCATTGGCATTCCAGGAGTGCAGAGCTGCAAATCCTGGGGCTGATCTCCATAAATGATTCATCTGCTGTTGATAGCGGCCAGTCCTTCCGTGGGTTTAGTCAGAAAATCTGATTTTAGTGCCAGACCTCGTGTTAGGCTCAGTTTTAGTCAAAAGCCTTGAACAACTGAACGCTTGGGCTTGGTTTGGTGAGGGTGTCGTGGCACAACACCCCCAGCACGTCCTCCTGATGGAGCGTGAGGAGCTTAGGCCTGGCCTGAGGACACACAAGGACTGGCTTAAACCCTCTTTGCTTTGATAGGGGACAGATGTGGCCTGGGTGTGGCTCAGGAGGAGCTGCAGGTGTGCCCTGGAGAACGGGGCTGGGATGTGACCGGGAGCTGGGAATGTTGAGGAGCATCATGGGTGGGCTGGAGCACCCCATTCCAGATGGAGCACCTTGTTCCAGAGGAACAATCATGCTCCAGAGGGACTATCCTGCTCCAAATGGACCATCCTGCTCTGGAGGGATCATCTTGCTCCAGATGAATCATTCTGCTCCAGATGGACCATCCTGCTCCAAAGGGACCATCCTGCTCCAGAAGGGCCATCCTGCTCTAAATGGATCATCCTTCTCCAAAGGGACCATTCTGCTCCAGAGGAGCCATTCTGCTCCAGAGGGACCATCCTTCTCCATAGGGACCATCCTTCTCCATAGGGACCATCCTGCTCCAGAAGGGCCATCCTGCTCTAAATGGATCATCCTTCTCCAAAGGGACCATTCTGCTCCAGAGGAGCCATTCTGCTCCAGAGGGACCATCCTTCTCCATAGGGACCATCCTGCTCCAGAGGGACCATCCTGCTCCAGAGGGACCATCCTGCTTTGTCTGGATCACCCCACCCTACCCCTGACCAGACCCCGAGGGCCAAACCCCCCCAGCTCCTGGAACACAGCAAACCCATGGTTAAGTCCAGCAAACCCATGGTTAAGTCCAGCAGGTGGGAATGGCTCCTTGGAGAACTCTGGCTCGGCCATCCCGGCCGGCTGCAGTCCCACGGTGGGTTTGGCTGGCTGGGCTTTACTGCAGCTCCGAGGTCACGGGGCACTCCCAGATCCCATGGACTGGTAGGGTGAGGAATTTCCCCTTTGGCTTCGTGGGTTTAATTCCCGATTCAGTTCCTGGGTTTAAGGCTGTTTCCAAGGATTCCCAAGCAGTTCTGGGAATGCAGGAGCTGCTGGACTTTGGCTGCTTTAAAATCTGTTCATTGGGCAGGGAGTGCTCATCATTCCAGAGTCCAGTGGGAATGGAGCAGCCTGGATGCAAGGAACCTGTGTGGATCCTGCTTTCCCAGCCAGGGCTCTCTGTGTCCTTCCTGCTCTCCTGAGGAGCAGGAGCAGCTCCTCTCCTTTCCATCTGCTGGCCCAAGGCCACCCATCAGATCCTGGCCACGGGATCAGCTCCTGGGAGCACCGGAAAGGACAAGCCTGGCTCCTGGGAAGGGCAGGGAGGGTTTTCCTTCATGGAGAGTGAGGGAGAGGGGCTGGAGCTCAGGAGACCAAATAATTCCATGGACAGCTGGAGTTTGGAGGTGTGAGGAGCACCAGGGGTTCTCTGTCTGAGCCTTACAGAGTCTTCTGGCCTAATCCAGAGGGACAATCATGCTCCAGAGGGACTATCCTGCTCCAAATGGACCATCCTGCTCTGGAGGGATCATCTTGCTCCAGATGAATCATTCTGCTCCAGATGGACCATCCTGCTCCAAAGGGACCATCCTGCTCCAGAAGGGCCATCCTGCTCTAAATGGATCATCCTTCTCCAAAGGGACCATTCTGCTCCAGAGGAGCCATTCTGCTCCAGAGGGACCATCCTTCTCCATAGGGACCATCCTTCTCCATAGGGACCATCCTTCTCCATAGGGACCATCCTTCTCCATAGGGACCATCCTTCTCCAGAGGGACCATCCTTCTCCATAGGGACCATCCTTCTCCATAGGGACCATCCTGCTCCAGAGGGACCATCCTGCTCCAGAGGGACCATCCTGCTTTGTCTGGATCACCCCACCCTACCCCTGACCAGACCCCGAGGGCCAAACCCCCCCAGCTCCTGGAACACAGCAAACCCATGGTTAAGTCCAGCAAACCCATGGTTAAGTCCAGCAGGTGGGAATGGCTCCTTGGAGAACTCTGGCTCGGCCATCCCGGCCGGCTGCAGTCCCACGGTGGGTTTGGCTGGCTGGGCTTTACTGCAGCTCCGAGGTCACGGGGCACTCCCAGATCCCATGGACTGGTAGGGTGAGGAATTTCCCCTTTGGCTTCGTGGGTTTAATTCCCGATTCAGTTCCTGGGTTTAAGGCTGTTTCCAAGGATTCCCAAGCAGTTCTGGGAATGCAGGAGCTGCTGGACTTTGGCTGCTTTAAAATCTGTTCATTGGGCAGGGAGTGCTCATCATTCCAGAGTCCAGTGGGAATGGAGCAGCCTGGATGCAAGGAACCTGTGTGGATCCTGCTTTCCCAGCCAGGGCTCTCTGTGTCCTTCCTGCTCTCCTGAGGAGCAGGAGCAGCTCCTCTCCTTTCCATCTGCTGGCCCAAGGCCACCCATCAGATCCTGGCCACGGGATCAGCTCCTGGGAGCACCGGAAAGGACAAGCCTGGCTCCTGGGAAGGGCAGGGAGGGTTTTCCTGCATGGAGAGTGAGGGAGAGGGGCTGGAGCTCAGGAGACCAAATAATTCCATGGACAGCTGGAGTTTGGAGGTGAGAGGAGCACCAGGGGTTCTCTGTCTGAGCCTTACAGAGTCTTCTGGCCTAAGAAAAATCAGCGATTGTTACTATTTTGGATTATTATTTCTCTTCCTTTTATTGGAAGGACAATGCCAAAGCAGAAATCTTTGCACAAGTTTAGGCTCAGAGCACTGACAGTGTACCATGAAATGCTTGAAATCCTTGGAATTACCTCTGGGAAATGGATTTTTGGCAATGTTAGGGAAAAACCCCTTAAGGAATTTGTGCCTGAAGAGCATCATAAACCCCAGTGAAGCCACCTGGATGCAGATTTGGGGTTGGAATTGTGCATAATAAAATTCCCATCGAGGAGCTGATTGAACGAGCTGCTTGGAGTTTGTGCTGGCAGCTGGGTTTATTTATATAAAATATAAACCAGAAAATAGAATCTATAAATACAACTATATTTATATATTAAATGTATATATAATATAATATGGAATATAGAATGTAGAATATAAAATAAGAAATAAAAGTTACAAATTAAAATACATAAAATAACATATAGAAAATAGACTATACAAAGTAGAATATTGGTTGATGTGTTTCTGCGTGCGGCACACACCCACCCCGCCATTCCCTTTTGGAGCCAGCCTGGCCGATTCCCTGTCACACGCTCCTTGCAGCGAGCAGAGCGGCTCGGAAGCCGCCCGGAAATCCAAGTTTCCCCATTCCCATGGCTGCGCGGCCGCGGATGCCCGCGGATCCATCCCTGCGCTGGAGCCGTGCCAGGAGTTTCTCCTGTCGCTGCCTGTGCGCTGCTCGCTCCCGCTCTGGCTCTTCCCATTTTTTCCCCCCCCTCTCTTTGAGGTTTTTCTGGTGCCTTTCGAGTGAGCTCAACTCCGAGGCTCGCAGCTTCCCTGTGTGCTGCTGTTCCGCGGGAGGAGCCGCGTTCCTGCCTCCTTTTCCTGGGAAACTTCACCATGCGGCTGGTAAGGGGCTGGATTCCAAAGGAAGGGCTCGGGCAGCTCGGGATGGAGCCGCTCCCCCGGGAATCATCGGGGAGGGGATGCGGGGTGCCCAGCGGGACGTGGATGTGACACCGCCGGGGATGCGCAGGCACATTCCCTTCAGGAATCTGGGAGCCGGCGGCACTTTTGCCTCGGGAGAAGGAGGCTGGAGCGGTCGCGAGGCGATTCCTGGCGTGCTGTAAGTTTATTGAGGGGATTTAAGGCTCGGGAAGGAGGGAATCATCTCCGGGTGATAACAATTCCAAACAGCGCTTGGGAAAGATGCCCGAGGATTCTCGGGGATTCTCAGGGCTCTGCCGAGCCGTGGCCGAGTGTTGTGGCAGGATTTCCCTGCGTTTCACAGCCTTTTTTCTTTTGGCTGTGCAATTACTGGGGGGGGGAAAAGGTGGCTGTGCTTCCCGGGGGGAAGAGCCCGCGGCTCTGAGCCTCGGGATTCCGCAGGGATTCAGCTCCAAGCTCTGGAGGAGCCGGCGGATCGATGCAGGGCTCCTGGAGCCAAGAGTTCAGCAGTTTGTCAACACGGAAAAGCTGCCGGCGCTGCCGGCTCGGGGCTGGATCCCGATGAAGTCATCCCGGGAATGCTGCGGGACCAATCCGGGTCTGGCGCTGGGCAGGGCGCTGGGATAACCCCTCGGTGCCGGGTTGATTGTGGGGTTTTGCCGGAGTAGTTGTAGCAGGGCTGGCTGGGTTGGGCATCCAGGATCTTCCCAGCACGTTGGAGCAGAGATTCCATCAGGAATCTCTTCCACAGGGTGGTTCCTTCCATCCCAAACTCCATCCCCTCTGTGCTGGGCACAGCCAGCCCACGAGGCTTTTCCAAACCTCATTCCAAGGCTATCCATTGGGATGTGACAGATGGGAGTGATATAAACACCAGAGGGTGGAAATGCAGCAGGGAGAGGCACTGGGAGGCAAGGCAGGGAGCTGGGGATGGTTCCTCAGGAATTCCAAGGGCAGGGAGCCAACCCTCAGGTGAGGATCCATCCTGCACATCCCATTTCTCAGGGGAGGAGGCTGAACATCTTGGGATTGATGGATCCTCCACAGCTCCGAGCTCCAGAGTGGGTGGCAGGAAATCAGCAAATATTGAATTCTCATTTCTCCCATGCTGGAATTAATCTGAGCTTCTCTGTTTTCCCAGACAACTTGTCAGACACTGGAATCTCATTTGTTAAACTGCACAGGGAAAAAGAGGCTGCATTAGGAATATCTCACTTACCTGGAGCTGAATTTATTTGGATTCCCTTTGCTGGTTCAAGTTTTTCAGCTTCCCAAAAGGCTGGAGAAGCTCTAGAGGAGTCTTATAAATAAAATAAACCCATAAGAACTTCCCTGAACTGTAGGTGCTGGATTTACTTCATGTTCCCAGTGCAGCGCTAACCTCTGGAATTGTGTCCAGTACTTTTGTTCCCTGCTTTCCCTGAATATTCCAAGGCACAGACAGAATTGGAGTCCTTTCCCTGCTTTAAATCTCTTAAAACTCAGATTTTCTGTCATGAGGCTCCTGCAGGTCCCTGCTGTGGTAGTTTGGGGGTTCCTGCAATCCCAATAAAACCAGGGAGACTCTGTGTGCCCAAGGGCTAAAGCCTGGCTTGTACAGACCTAAAATACAGGGAAGAGATCAAATGCCAGGGAATGTTTGTACTTCCAGCAATTTCCCTGGATGCCAAAGAAAACTCGGGAATAAATGACAAACTGGTTGGGATGAGCTCTCTGAAGGGGAAATTTTCCTGTTTCAGGGGCCTGTGGCTCTCAGTGCCCTGATTGCAGCAGGGAAAACACAGCACAGCCAATATTCCGTATTTTCTACAGCTGGAAAACCTGATTGCAGCATCCTGGCTTCAGGGGGCAGGAGGGGTGAGGCTCCTGCAGGTGTTGTCCCAGGTTTCTGTGCTGTCCCCTGGGAACAGGGGCTGGGACCTGAATTCCAACTCACTCCTCTACAACAGGCTGGATGAGTAAATACAGGGTGTAAATACAGAGAGTAACTACAGAGAGTAAAATACTCAGAGAAAACATGGAAATGTCTCCTGAAACAAAGATCTTAATCCAGGGTTTAGCTGGAGGTTGGGCAGCTCTGCTCATCCCAGGTTCTGAGCAGGACCTTGCTGTGGGGCCATTCCCATTTAGCAAGGGCAGAGCCTTTGAAGGGTCCAAAGAGTGGTTTTGGGGGAAAACAGAGCTGGGAAAGTATCCACGAGGAAAAGGAATTCTCAGCTCTCCTCTTTCCATGATTCCTGCTGAAGGAAGCTGGATCTGCTCTCCCAGCTGCAGGAATGCTGCCATTACTTTTGTGTGTAAATCCAATTATATCCTCCAGTGTTTTTTTGCATTTCCCTGCTTCATGTTTAATTTATTTGCCCTCAATTTTTTACCAAAATTCAGCATTTTCTGTCAGGTTTCACTGACTCCTGGTGTCACCTGCAACTCTTCCCCCTTGCTGCTCCTCTGCTTTTCCCACATAAATAATAAAAGGGATTTTTGGAGCTTTGGGAAGCTCTTTACAAGCTGTGCAAGTTGGGCTTATTTAATTCCTGAAGGCTGCACATCCACATCCTGATATCCAGGCAGGGAATTCATTTACATGCCATGGATGGCTCAGCCACCTCTCAACTGCTGGCATTTCGTCCCTGCTTTGGAATATTATTTACATTTATTAAAAAGCAGTTGGAGGATGTTCAACTTGGTGCCTTTTAAAACAATGTGGAGTGTCTGCTTTCAGAAAGACACAGAGAGGGTCTTTTATTCATTAATTTCCTGTTAATCCTTTAAATTCCTTCAATTATCAAGTATTTAGGGTGGTCTTTACATGCTAATAATTGAATGAGAAGCATGGAGCATTCCATTCTCCAGGTACCTGAAATTCAGGGTGATTTTAGCTCATCTCCTGTCTTGTTTTCCCTCTCCACAAAACATCCCAAGCTTTTATCCCATCCCTTTCCTTCTGTCCCTGAGGAATCCAACGAGGCCAGCAGTGCCTGAAGGGAATTTTCCATCCAGTGACGTGGTTGTGTGGTCATTGATTGGAATCCTGATGGAAAACGTCCTCTTGCAAAAGGAGAGACACCAAAGAAATCTGGGAATGCTGGTGGGGTTTAGGCTCAGCCTAAATGGGGGAAGGTATCTGTGCAAACCACTCTCAGGATTGTTTTAGGCCAGCATTTCAGCAGCTGATTTGTGGCAAAGTCCTCGTCCCAAAGTTCTGCTGGAAACAGGATCTGCCTACACCTAGAAATAAAGACCCAAATTGGGTATAATTAAAATTAAACCAGTGTTCAAACTGCAATATATCCCAGGCAAAACAAGCCTGAATTGTCCATTTTACAAGCACAGTTGCTGATGGAAAATGATCCTTATAATTCAGTGCGGGCACAAAGCACAACTGATTTTAAAGCGATTGTGACTTTGGGCAAACTCATCTTGCATGGAAAAAGGGAAGAGAGGGAATCTCTCCCTTAGTCCAGGAAACAGCAGCACATGGATGCCACTGGAGCAGGGAATTTCATGGATGCAGTGCAAACGAAAAGCTCCTTTCTCCTCGGGTGTAGGATTTGAAGGAAGGATCCTGAGCGTTGTAATTAAAAGTGGAGCAGAGGCCTGAGGCTGATGGATGTGATCCTCACTGAGGAGCCTCTGGGGTTTTTCCCTGGCAGAAAGTTGATGGGAATTCACCATCAGGACAGAACAAACACATCCACACCGGGCTGGGGGAAGGATTTGCACTGAGAGCAGCCTGGGAATATTCCAAGGCAAATTTTCATTGAAAATATGGCCTTGAGTGTGTGGAATTTCATGGGCACTCCATAAGGGGATGGAGGTGTTCCCTGCCTGGGGATGAGGTGGCCTCAGCCTTGTGGGGCCTGTCACAACCCCACAAATAATGGAATTAAGAAATTAAGGAATTTAGCATCTGACATTTCTAAACACAAATTCTGACAGTGGAAATGGGCTCAGGGAGCCCAAACTCAGGACTCGGAGTGGCAGAATTAATGCTCCTCTAACGCGGAGAGAAGGCCACAAGCACTTGGTGCAGAAATGAAAATGCATTAATTGAGACATAAGACACACAAATGTTTGGAGACATTGGCTTGCTCGGGGTGCTAACAGACCAAAACAGCACTTTTTGGGTTTATTGCTGTTTTCAGCATCCCAGATGGCTGCAGACTGTGGGGTTTGGGCCCATCGTGTCTGTCCCAGTGCCAAATGGACAGAGGAATGTTCAGTCCTGGCCAGCCTCAGAGCAGTGCCTGTGCCAAGGCTGGGAATGGCTCCACTGAGCCACCACTCTGACGGGAGCAAGGCAGGCTCTGGGCAATATGTGTGTTTTACTGGGATTATTTTGGGATTCAGGCTTCTGTTGTGGGGCTCTCTGGAAGAGGGATCCGTTTGTGTTCCATGTTTGCCAGCACATTTCTGCTCTGAGTGCTTCCATCTCTCAGCTGTTCCTGGGTGTGTTTTGGGACAGAAACTTCTGTTTGGTGTAAAGCAGAGCCTCTGGAAGGAGAATAATTAATTTTTGTTGGGAGGGGTTGCATCCCAAGTGACCCCTCACGTTTGGGATCAGTGTGTGTGCTGTGAATCCCAAAGAGGTGATTCCAGCTCGCAGCCCAGCTTCTGGAGACTGGAAAGTCAGGAAAGAGATTCACTGACCATGGATTTGTCTCAGCCTTCCTGGAACACCACCAAAGTTGTGTTTGTCCTTGTGGGAAAATCCAATTTTGTCACCAGGAGCTCTCCTTGACCTTCTCACTCCAGAGCAGCCGCTGAGCTCCTGGAGTTCACTGGAATGCTGCTGTTTGGAGCACATTTCCATGAGGAAATATTTCTGATTTCAGCTCTTCCCCATGCCATGGCTGAGCCAGGGTTTTCCAGTGTCACCTGCAATTCCTGGGCACTGCCCAGCCCTGGCTGTGAGGAGCTGGAAATCAAAGCCTGAGCTGTGTTGTGCTATAATTTATGCC